GAACAAATTTCTCATGCCTCCTGGCCCTATTCTTATTTTTGAGTTAAAAAACAAAAACGGAAACAAATACAATATTGTATTGCAAGTGGCCCACGGCCCGTAGTTTGAGGCACCCTGCTGTAGGGAAAAGAAATATGTGAGGGGTATTTCTGAGGATAGTGAATTGAGTGCACAAAGTTTACTCAACCTCCTGTAAAAGTTCTACCAAGTGACAGAAATAATTCTCACCCTACCCCAGAGAGAGAGAGAGAGAGAGAGAGAGAGAGAGAGAAAGAGAGACAGACATCAAGTAACTGACAACACTGAGGAATTCCTAAAAGGCAGAAATCAGATAAGGTCGGAGCTACAAAGATACAACCCAAAAGAATGCCAATTACAGTAATCACATACTATTTTTCACCCAGCAGACTGAAAAATGAAAATAATGACAGGGAAAGAAGCACTCTTAAACCCCACCGGTATGAGTTTAAATTGGTGAATTCTTGTGGGAAGACAGTTTGGCAGCATCCACCAAAACCAAAAATAGGCATCCACTTTGCGCCAGCATTTCCACTTCCAGGCAACTGTCCAACGGAAATGCTGCACAGTGCACCGAGGCCCGTACTTGCACAGGTTGCGTCCATGAAGAATCAAAACTAAAACCTTAATGACCATCCTAGGTGAGCAGTTAAATACCAGGTACACCCATAAAATGAATTATTTTATAACCATCAACAACAACGACAACAAAGGCAAGAGAAGAAAATGAGTTGGACCTATATGATCTGACATGGAAAGAGTCCCCAAGACATTCTTTGTTATGGGCAAGTGAAAAAAAGAAGCCACTGCATTACACACAGAATAGGAGCCCCGCAGGGTAAGTGTATATGTGCACCCCCTGAGGAGGGCGATGGGAACAGTGCTCACCCAGTGCTGGGCACCCCTAGGGAAACGTATGTTGGGGTTGCTGCAGAATTGTGAAGAGGAACATTCATTCATGTTCCTTCTGCATTCTACCACGGTTTAAAATATTTACAATGAAAATATTTCTATAATTTTTTAAAAAAGAAGAACCAAATAGGAATGCTAATAATAAATGCATGTATATGTGAGACAGGGGCCACTTTATTGAGCCTGTAGGTATTAGGCCTAAAATCTTGAGATAAATTTTCAGCTTGGCCCATGTGGTTCAGTGGTTGAGCATCGACCCATGAACCAAGAGGTCACTGGTTCAATTCCTGGTCAGAGCACATGCCTGGGTTTTGTACTTGATTCCCAGTAGATGATTGATGCTTCTCTCTCATCAATGTTTCTATTTCTCTATTCCTCTCCTTTCCTCTATCTCTAAAAATCAATAAAAACATACTTTAAATAAAAGAGCTAAAAGCATACTTTGAACCATGCACACTTTGTCACACCTGTATGCTGATCTCATGGTCTAAACCAGTGGTTCTCAACCTTCCTAATGCCGTGACCCTTTAATACAATTCCTCATGTTGTGGTGACCCCCAACCATAAAATTATTTTCGTTGCTATTTCATAACTGTAATTTTGCTACTGTTATGAATCGTAATGTAAATATCTGATATGCAGGATGTATTTTCATTGTTCGTGACCCACAAGTTGAGAACCGCTGGTCTAAACCAAACTGACAACCCATGCCTGACAATGGGTGAACGATGCAAAGTGAAATGAATCTGGAACGTCTAGGACAGCGGTTCTCAACCTATGGGTCGCGACTCTTTTGGGGGTCGAACGACCCTTTCACAGGGGTCGCCTAAGACCATCGGAAAACACATATTGAATATATAATTACATATTGTTTTCGTGATTAATCACTATGCTTTAATTATGTTCAATTTGTAACAATTAAAATACATCCTGAATATCAGATATTTACATTACGATTCATAACAGTAGCAAAATTACAGTTATGAAGTAGCAACGAAAATAATTTTATGGTTGGGGATCACCACAACACGAGGAACTGTATTAAAGGGTCACAGCATTAGGAAGGTTGAGAACCATTGGTCTAGGAGATACAGTTTTCATACTTATTTTCAAGTTGCTCCACAGGACAAAAGGTCATCATCCTATATAATAAAAGGGTAGCATGCAAATTGACCCTAACGGTGGACCTACCAGGAACAATAGGTCACTATGACGTGCACTGACCAGCAGAGGGCAGACGCTCAATGCAGGAGCTGCCCTCTAGTGGTCAGTGTCCTCCCACAGGGGGAGCTCTGCTCAACTACAAGCTGGGCTCATGGTTGTGAGCACAGCAGCAGTGGCAGAAGCCTCTTCTGCCTCCTTGACAGCGCTAAGGATATCCGACTGCGGCTTTGGCAGGGAGTGGGCCTAATCCGGCAGTTGGACATCCTTCGAGGGCTCCCGGGCTGCCAGAGGGATGTCTGACTGCCAGCTTAGGCCTGATCCCTCAGGGAGTGGGCCTAAGCCGGCAGGTGGACATCCCCCGAGGGGTCCCAGACTGCGAGAGGGTGCAGGCCAGGCTGAGTGTCCCCCACCCCCAGTGCACAAATTTTTGTGCACCGGGGCTCTAGTTCTATTATAAAATAGGTAACAATAAAATACAAAACTAAATTATCTTCCCCAAATCACAAGCCAAATCAGTGGCAGATCCAAATCCCCCATTCCTGGAGCTCTTGGCATTTGGCCAAGCAAGGACTTTACAATCTAACAGGGATGAGATGAACATGTAATACAGGCTGTATATAATTCAAAGCAAGATGACTGGAATAAACCGACAGAACTTGGGAAGGAGGAAATACCGATATGAATTAAAGCAGTTGGGAGCACAGGTCTGCCAGCAACTACTACTCCATCAGGAATCTGCTATCTTCAGGCACCTCAGTCCAGGTGCCAAAGTAACTTTAAAACTAAGATTTAAACTGCGCTTGCTTTTAACAAAAAGGCAGGACTGAGCAAGCCCGCTGTCATTTTCTAACTTTTACCTCCATGTCTCTGGTTTAGAGGTTATTAGGGCTGGATATCCCAAACCAGCACTAAAACTACCTCAAAACAATGAGAAAAGACAAGGAAGAAAAATAAGAACTCTCCTGTATAAGCTGCAATATTTCCAACTAGCCAGGCCTCCCCCATTGTTTTCTCTAACTAGCATTTCCTCTAAATACCCATTTGGAAATTTGGGGGAATAGGGAATTATTAAATGGAAATGAAGAACTGCTTGGAATTTTAGCTCCAGACAGGATGGCAGTAACATCCCCCTCCACCCAAGTCTCTTCCTTTTTGGCAGCCCAAGAAAGAGCGAGGTCTTCCTTCTGATCACGGCTTAGGTTTCTCTAAAACAGTAAGTACCAAAGGGCTGCTCACCAACAAACAGAAAGCGAGTACAATGTGCCAAGAGAACCAGAAGAAGAAGAAGAAAGGACAAAAATGGACCAGGAGATTCCTAAACAAAGCGTAACCCACACAGATTGTGTGGAAATGCACTGGCTGCCCACGACTGCGGAACAAACCCTCAGACCAGTCTCGGTGGGACGCAGCGCGGCAGGTCCCAGCCATCCCACGGGCAGAAGCTTAGAACAGGTTTAGCGCTGAGGCTCTGCAGTTAGCCCACCGCTCTTCCAAGCTTGCCGCTGCCACCATCAGTTTTGTGACCTGGAACGAGATACTCGTCCTTCAAACCACAGTCTCTGCAGCTGTAAATCCTATGATCGGCTCCCAGGACTTACATGGCTAATGGAAACCAACTAACCTGGCTTAACAGCATTAGGGTTGAGGTGTGGCAGCGCCCGCGTGCACGGGCGTGATGCTGAGGCTCGGGAGCCTCGCTGCCTGTGCAGGCATCTGAAGACACAGGAGGGGCAAGGAAGAACCTGACTGGTGAGAAGCTGCGCTTTTGAATTCACCTCGAACGCCTCTCTCCATTCATTTAAAAGCTGGCTGTATTGCCCTAGCTGGGTTGGCTCAGTGGCTACAGTGTCGGCCTGCGGACCGAAGGGTCTTGATTTGATTCCCAGTCAAGGACATGTACCTTGGCTGCAGGTTCCCCAGCCCCGGTAGGGGCAGCTGGGGGAGGCTGCGGGGAGCAGCCAATTGATGTGTCTCTCTCACATCAATGTCTCTCTCTCTCTCTTTTTCTCTCCCGCTCT